CTGTATGACCAGTGTGATCTACATATATCATGTGCAACCAAAAGAATGAAAAATTATACTTTACATATGATGTGTCAAAGTGCATTCTACTATCATATATAATTAATTAGAACAATATTTTTAAAAAACTATGCTCAAAAAAATCAAAATTTTAAAAATGCGTGTGATTAGAAAAGCCCTTGCTGTTATAATATAAATAGGAAAGACTAGGAAACACCCATTGCTGCCTCATCTCAGCCTCCGTTCTCAATTTGCCCAACAAACTAAGAGCATACTGCATACCGGGACCTCCATCAAACTCATGGCTCAGGCTGACGCACTTGAACTCTGGTGGAGAAACCAGCCACTGGCCATGTCGTCTAACAGAGCAGGCAGGGTAGAACCAATAACCTCTCCTCCCATGACTGAGCCTATGACATTTATTCATCCATTCATTCATTCATTCATTCATTCATCTATCTATTTTTGCCATGCTGGAGATGGAACAAGGGCCTCATGCATGCTAGGTGAGTGCTCTATTACTGCCCCCCAGCCCTCATGATGTAAGTGTAAGAACACTCATTATGAGATATTCCCTAACAAAAATTTCTAAGTGTACAGTAGAGTATCGTTGACTATAGGTACAGTAGAGCTCATTCTTCTTACTCCAGTGAAAATTTATGCCCTTTGATTAGCAGTTCCCAGTTTCCCCACTCCCCTCAGCTCATGGTAACGACCATTCTACTCTTTTGACGATTTTCGATACCCAATACAACTGGAGTCATGCAGTATTTATCGTATTGTGACTGGCTTATTTCACTTAGCCTAGTTTTCTCAAGGTCCATCCACGTTGCTGCATTTTACAGAACTTTGTTTTCTTTAAGGCTAAATACCATCCTGTTGTCTGTATATCCATACCATCCTCTCGTTCTCCATTCATCCATCCATAGACTCTCAGTTTGTTTCCACATCTCTGCTATTGTGAATAGCACTGCAATGAACATAGGAATGTTAATATCTAAAGATCTTAATTTCAGTCTTTTGGGAAAAAATGCCCACAAATGGGATTGCTGGATCATATGGAAGTTCTATTTTTAATTTTTTAAGGAAAATTACTGTTTACTGTTTCCCGTAAGTGATTGCACCACTTGGCACTCCTACCAATAGTGTGAAAGGTTCCAGTTTCTCCACATCTTCCCCTGAATCCCTCTCTGGACTCCAGAGTGACAGTGTCTCAGGAGCTTGGCAAGGATAGGCCATCACTCCCCCCAGCCCAGTGTCACCATGAAGGGCTAAACACACAATTCTCCGTATTTCTGTTTGCCGGCTTACATGGTGAATAAATGCAGAGGAGGATTCGGGGTTGGAGGGAAGCATGAATTCATGGCCCTGCAGAGCATGGCTAAAAGTGTTTGTCAAAAAAAGAGTTAATGACTGCCTCTCTGTGGGAAGCCCTAAAGAAATGAGTGTTCTGAAGTGTAGAACATTCGCTTTTACGGTAGGTGGTGTTATTGTTACATGTTCATACAGACAGTGCTAATTAACAATCCTAAAGGCCACATCATTAAATTATTTCTCAGCTTAAAACCCTGCAATGTTTAACACATCCCAGCAATTCAATTATATCCAAGAATCCAGCCTGAACACTAGGCTCTGTTCTCTGGCTGACAAAGTACAGGCTGCTCTCAAGAGCAGGTGAAGCTTAAACAGGAAAGGAGATCTGAACAACTCCTTCCTGTTCCTTCCCCGACACACACCCTAAAATGAAGCAACAACAATCTTCAAACAAAGTATAACGTGGGCCCTACTTTTCAGGCAATGAAATGTGGACCCTAACAATTTTTCTATGTATGCATACATGAGGAATGGACAAGATCTTCAAGATCTCACTCAAAAAAAAATCAAATCACTGCCCTCACATTATTCAAAGTCTACTGGGACTCTCTGTTTCCCCCAGAACCTCCCTCTCTTCCTGTCATTTCCAACCATTACACAGTACAATTTGGGTTTGAACTTGGGGTGACTTTGGGGCTTTGGGCTGGGTTTTTCCAGCAGAAAGCACTCTGAAGAGCACACAAGGCCTCTTTGTCTCTCTCTCCCAGGGAAATAGCTCAAGTACAGAACACAGTGAGAAATGGCTTCCTTACAACTGAAACACACATACACGCGCACACACACACACACACACACACACACACATACACACACGCACTTGCCCCGTGCACACTCAGGCACGATGTGCACAAAGAAGCTCTCGCCCCTCACTGCCACCCGCAGTCAGATCCTCTCTGTGGTGAGACAGTCCTCTGCACAGGCACAGAGCCCAGTTCAGCCGGCCAAGTGGCCTCAGTCCTCAGGACAAGGCTTGGCAGGCAACACCATGACAGAACCTCCCGCTTGGAAGGTGCTGGTGCCGAGACCGCATCTGGAAGCAGCACATATGTGATTCCACTGGTTTTCACACAAAGAGGCAGACTGTGCCAGTGGCCAGCTGGCCAGCTGGGCACTCAGCTGCAACCACAGAAGCAGAAGAGAGAGCGACCCGCCTGATTCCCTTTGCATGGTCTCCCCAAGCACTCAGCCTCAGGCCAAGCCCTTTCCTCATCACACCCCCTCCGTCTGCGGGCACAGGGAATGCACGCATCTCCTTAGCAACGTACCACCAAATGTGTTGCCTTACACAAAATGCACTCTCAATGAAAGTTTATTAGATGGAGTGATAGCTGGATGGATGGATGGATGGACAGAAGAGTAAAGCAAGCCCAGATGCTGCTGCTGCTCTCTCAGGCGGGTATTAGCAGGGCCAGCAACGCTCTTGTGGTACTTCCAGTCCCCATTCTCTGTCCAAGGGAGACATGGCTGCCTGGTCACCACATTCTTATTAACAGACCTCAGACCCATCCTGCATGCCCCATGGTAGTGCTCCAGCAGGTACCAGTAGTCCTCAGACAAGACAATCAATTTCCTGTCCCAGCATTAGGATGTGACCATTGTTGAGTTCCTGGTGAAAACGTTTTCTTACTGTGAGACCTGAGAAAGCTACTGAAACTAAAATACCACAACCAGACGCCTTGTAAAGGATGGTAACAACTGACTTCAGAAGCTTAATGGTGATTAATGAGAAAATTCAATAAGCCTTGACATCAGAGGTGCCCAGTATATATTGGTGGTTTGTATCCGGTGGCTAGTTGTAGATTATCAAGACCCTTGTTTTTATACAAGGTCTTTGTCATTGCTGTCAAACATGAGGCATCTCTCCAAAAGGCATAGCAAAAAAAAAAAAAAAAAAAGGCATAGCATGGTACTGGGACTACAGGGAGCACCATGAGAGATACCCTCCTCATATGGACAGGGGAAGCAGGCATCCTATAGCCAGCCTCCAATGATGCGAGGGGCATTACTCAGAGGCAGAGCAGGAAAAAGAACAGGCTGGCAAGTGAGGAGGCTTGGCTTTCAGTCAAGGTCCTGCCTCAACTAGCTAGATAAACAAGGAGAGGTCACTTCTCCCTCTCATCCTAGGTGCTTCTGAGAAAATTCCACAAGATTGCATGAAAACTGAAGTCCCTTCAACTCGCCATTCTGTGGTGCTGTTCTTTGAAATCTGGTTTACAACTCCTCACCTCCTCACTGAAGCCTGTCCTAAATATTCCCACCAAAAAATAAAATCTCCGTCCTCTGAGGATTGGTAGCACTTATCTGTGCTGTGTATCTGGAAATTAGTCCACAGAATGGTCCCTTGGAATGATGCACTCAAATCATACTAACTGTAGGCCCAGGGATTAGTCTAAAGCTACCCACTCCCACCCCCACCCACCCACACACACAAATTCTTACAATCCTCTCTAACTAGGAACTAGGTAATGCCAAGATACCATTTTATAGATGGAAAAACTAACGCACAAAAAAAAAAAAGCAAAGAAATAAGGTCAAACAGCTTTAAGTGCTAAGGCAGACACTTGAACCCAAGGAGTCAGACCTGTGGTCATGAAGCAATAGGAGCTTTCCTCACTATTTAGCATCTTACTACTTTCCCCAAAGAAGCCCAGAGGCAGTGCTGCCCTGGCACAGAGGCTGTGTGGCACAGTGCTAAGCAAAAGGTCTCTAATCTAGACTGGTTTTGAACCCCAGTTCTGTTCAACTGCCTTATGCTTTCATTTTCCTATGTATAAAATAAGAGTCGTAAGTACTATGTGGTCATGAGAATTAAGTGGACTGCCCTAAGCGAAGTGTTTAGGGCAGGGTCTGGTGCTCAGCAAATTCTGAGCCACTTCTGTTCCTATGAATAGGAGCCCCATCCAGCACTCTTTTGCACTCCCTGTGCTTTGGGGCTGGCTTGGTTAATTTCACTGGCTCACTGAAGAGCATGGAACCAAGTTCAATGCTGTCTCTACCACAAATTAACTTTGGGACCTCCAGCATGACAAGGAACTTCCAAGCCTCAGTTTTCTTGATTTATAAAATGGGAATCCCACATGCTGCCTTGCGAAATCCCACAAAGTTTTGCTGCTCAACTCAATAAGATAGATGGGTAGACGGTGCATGAACCATTAGATAAATGAAAGGGATTACAATTTGTTTAGTCCTGATGACAATACCACGTGAGGGTCTCTGAAGGCCTCTGCTCGAGGGTCATTCTTTACGTTGCTGCCAAAGCAGAGGAGACAGTTCTCTCTGAAGGAGCCTGGTTTGTAGAATTCTTGATAAGCCAAATAATGTTATCATATATCATGTTGCAGAGGGGCACTCCTGATCCTGTCAAGCTTTAGAAACTACTGTTCTGTGCCCACTATTGAACAAGTCAAGAGTTTGCAGCATGTATGACTCTACTTCAAGGCATCCAAAGAATTTTGTATGCAGTGGGACATAGAAGCCTGTTCAGTTGGTGAGAAGATAGGTAGAAAATGATATTGCAGACCAGACAATATTATGAAGGAGTCGTCATTTAAGTTGTTATTCCTCTTTGGAGTTAGACACATCTGAGCTTCACTGCCAATTCAATCACTTACAAGCTATATGGCCTATTGAATTTCTCTCAGATTCACCTAGGACATTTTTTTATTTATTGTTTATAGATATACATGATAGTAGGGTGTATTTTGACATAGTATACATACATGAAGTGCAACCCATTCCAATTTTGACCCCATTCTTGTGGTTGAACATGATGTGGAATTACACTGCTCTTATGTTCATATATGAGTATAGGAAAGTTATGTCTGATTCATTCTACTGTCTTTTGTACTCCCACCCCCTTCTCTCTTCCCTTTATTCCCCGTTGTCTAATCGAATGAACTTCTATACTTCCCCTCCGTGCCTTCCCTTGCTATGGGTTAGCATCCACATATTGGAGAGAACATTCAGCCTTTGGTTTCTTGAGACTGGCTTATTTCACTTAGCATGATATTCTCTAGTTCCATCCACAATTTCATTCTTCTTTATGGCTAAGTAATATTGCATTGTGTGGATTAGAAACCTACCAGTCTCTGGTACATAAGATGTGTTCAGTGAATTTACTAGTCCCTGTTGTTTTTTCCCTCTTTGGGAACTCCAGGATATCTCAGTTCAGCATGAACATACGGACCCAGGAGTTCTCAAGTTTGGCTTTGCCTGTTCTTTCAAGCTATTGTAGGCAACTCATGGTCTGAACTTTTCCTGACTTCTGCCAACAAACATTTCTTTGGCCCCGCCACATCAGACCAATGCTGGCTGACATGTGCTGCCTGTTATGTTTCCCCATCCAGGTAATGTTTACTAAAAGAAGCTAACTCATGACAGATCTTAAAGACTAATTATGGCCAGGTGCTGTGGCACACACCTGTAATCCCAGCAGCTCGGGAGGCTGAGACAGGAGGATCGTGAGTTCAAAGCCAGCCTCAGCAACAGCAAGGTGCAAAGCAACTCAGTGAGACTCTGTCTCTAAATAAAATACAAAATAGGGCTGGGGAGGGCTGGGGTTGTGGCTCAGCAGTGGAGCGCTCACCCAGCACATGGGAGGTGCTGGGTTTGATCCTCAGCACCACATAAAAATTAATAAATAAAATAAAGGTATTATGTCCAACTAAACAAAAAAAAATTTTTTAAATAGGGCTGGGGATGTGGTTCGGTGGTCAAGTGCCCCTGAATTCAATCTCCAATAGCCCCCCCCCAAAAAAAGACTAATTATGATCAGTCTTTCTCACATTACTCCTGAATCCTTGCTTCCTATCCCATAATTTAGCACAAAAATATATATATCATGGATTTTTCACAGTAACTAAAGAAGATTATGTATCAGTCAACTTTCGCTGCCTAACAAATCACCCTAAAACCTGGTGATTTATAGTAATAACCATTTTTTTTTAACTCACAGTTCTGTGGGTGAGCAATTTGGGCTGGTCTTAGCTAAGCAGTTCTTTTGCTGGGCTCAGCTGGGTCCTTGAGGCCTAAGCTCAGATCTCGTACATCATTCTCAACACATTCAAATGCTCAGAACAAATCAAAAAGCCAACCCAGATTCAAGAGAAAAAGACTCTGACGAGAGTTACTTCCCAATTATTGTGGCAAATTCTGCATAATACCACAGATAATAAATGAAAAACACCTGGTCTTCAAAAGCTAACTAGGTTTCCATCAGATTTTTGGTTCAGAAATTATTGCATGACATTTATATGAAATGAGTAAATATGTGTTGAGGCTTTCCAATGTGTTCATCACTGTGCTAAGGTTCAGTAAAGAAGAAAGGATTTTAAATATATTTATGACAGTCTTCACCCTACAGTGCTTATAATCAAACTTGGGGTAGACATATGTACACAAAAACAAATCGTCAGACCAGAGTGAAATCTCAGTTCAAGGCAATTGTAGAATAGCTATCACAAGGGCAGAAATGAGTTATTGTTACATGCATTACACAGACAATGCTTCTAAATCAGAGCAGAATAGGGTAGGATGAAATGGTCAATTAAGGCTTATCAAAGAAGGGAGGATTTTAGATTAGTCTGGAAAGATGGTCAAAGTGGTCCAAAGCACCAAACTGAAATGACTCCCTGATGGCTACCTTATATCCAGCCTCCCTCTGGAGTCTCTTCTTTCATAAAAGTCTCTCGATTGCCATTGATTGCATGACTAAGCTCTGTTTCCAATGCTGTGGGGGAAATGGGAGGAAATTCTAGTCCTTGGAGCCATTTTTTTTAAAAGAAAATCTTTCTTGCTTGGAGCAGAATGGTACCAGGGAAAGATGATGGATTTATTTTAGTCTTCATAGCTGGCAGTCTTCATATGCTTTTCTTCTCAGAGATTCCATTTACTAATCTTTCATCTCTGATGGGGATTCTACCTTACAGAAGAACATGGAACATCACAATGCAATTGAGTGTAATGCTCTGTCCACATAGTAAATAATAAATATCGTCCTTGTCTCTCGGCTCCTCCATTGCCTCTGTCTTCTTGACCAGTTATTTATTAACTATTCCACTCAGCCTAATACCTCATAATCACCATAGCATTACACTTCCACTGTGGTAATCAGGCAGCAAAGCTCATTCCAGATGATCCCAAAATAGCACCTGGAACAAGAAAGGTGTTCAATGATTTTTTTGTTCAAACTTTTGCATTCCCTGGGACTCGTTATATTTTTTTATACCCTTCTCCTTCTGCCCAGAATAACTACCACCTCCCCACCACCACCACCATGCCCTCATCCAATCCACCAGCCCAGCTAATTCCCATTTCCTTCTCACTATTCACCTCGGGCAGCTACTCCTTCAAGAAGATTTTCCTGCCCCATTTTGCATCCCAGGTTTAGGCATCCCTCCTCATTACTTAAAGAGTACATGGAACAGCACAGTCTCACAGGACTTCAGAAAATATTTATGGAATAAGTGATGGGATGGTTGGATAGCTGGATGACCCAGGGATCCCAATCAAGAAGTCAGTTTGTCAAAAATATATTTCACATGTTTGGGCAAGTAAACATGAGGCATGCATTTTCAAATCAGAGATGGAAACTAAACTCTATGAAGATGCAACGGCTGGTGATTAAGGCTCAGTCTCATAACTTAATAGATAGACACATGTAGAAAGTTTCTGCTCAGCACACTTACACACATTGTCACTCACCCCAACCTGCAGGTAGATAACATAATTAAAAGGAAACGCATAAAACCAAGGGGGGAAAAAAGCATTCCTCCAAAGTTCTGAAGGCAAATTTGAGACTAGGTCCTTGGGAGACAAGATTCCTTACCAACTGTCAGATTCAGCAATCATGAGACTCCAGACCTGAAGTGTTTCAGAGGGCAATATTTCTGTCCATGGAGACTAAAGTTAGTTGCTATTAGATCCCTAAACATAAATCATTTTCATCCTATCCAAGGCTCCAGCTACCAAGGGGACCAGGGAACCCCACCTCTCAGCTTCCAAATGTCCACTTTCTCTATCACTATCCACAAAACTTTCACCACCCTCTCCTCCCACCTCATCATCCACGTTTACCAAGCATGTTGAAATCACAGGAAAACAAACACTATTTATTTAATTTGGAACACCATGAAATTTTTCTTTTAAAAAACTTATAAAACAAAACAAAGTACTTGTTTCAAATATGAAAGTCAAGAAGAACATAGTATCTGAATTTAGTTAAAGAAAATGCTTATGATTAGTGTATAGTATTTCAAAGTGTCAGACAAAAGAGAAAGTACTGATCTCTTCTTCCATATTTCCTCCCATTGTTCTTTCCTTCATTCATTTGCTGACTGTTATATGCTGAGAAGTCAGCTGTGCCCTTGATATGAAACTGAATAAGGCACAATTGTTTCTCATGATCCAGGAAAACAGTAGCATGTAATAGTTACTACACCATGTGAGAAATGCCTTAAGAGATATGTCCAGAGTGCGGCAGGGACACAGAAGAATCATCACATCCAGATCAACCTGATGGATCACAGAAATCCTCCCACAGGAAACAACATCTGAAGGATGGAGGTGACTTTAAGGATAAAAGGGAATTTTCCAAAACAAAGGGCAGGGGTTGGAGGGGCGGGGCTGCAGGTTCCTCACAGCTAGAATGGCAACCACAAAGGAAAGCAATGAGTCTGCATTTGCAGAACCAGAGGCCAGAGGTCACTCACTCAGGAATGAGGGAAATGAAGCTAAAGAGATACCCAGGAGTCAGGTCATGAACTATCTGAATGCAAAGCTGAATTTGAACTTTACCTTAAAAGCTTATTTATTGAAGGGTTGGAAGCAAGCAATGCCATTCCCCAGTTTGCATTTAGAAAAGTGGCACTGTCGTAGTGCAGAGGACAGATAGTTGGAGAATGAGAAGGGAGGCAGAAAGATGACCTAGAAAAATATTCCAGTGAACTTGATGCGAAATGGCAAAGATCTACTGGATCAAGGCAATAAGACCAAGCCCACTCACGGAGGGTCTCTTAACTTTGGATGGAACCATGTACTTGTGAATGAAACATCCCCACAAAGAACAAACTAGAGCAATCAGCATTACCTGTGTTTTCCTTTGCATTTCTTGTATGTTGGCTTTCCTTAAGTATTTGGTTTGGGGAAAATGTGTCTTTAACAATCACTGTGGTCAGAGGACCAAGGCTCTTCTCCTATCCCAATTATTTACTAGGCGTGTTCCTTCAGGTGAGTTGTCTTTTCAAAGTCTCAGTGTCCTTATTTATAAATTAGATCATAAAGTTTACTTCCTAACTTTACATAATGATTAAATAAAGTAATGTAATATAGAATTGTTTAGCCAAATAAGTTTCAAAAATGAAGTAAGTTGTGACATAATGTATCGTATTAGTAAAATTTTGGCTGCAAAGACAGAAAACCAACCTAAACTGGCTCAAACTAGAAAAAGGGATGAACACTAATGAAATGTGGCCCTTCTTTCCACTTATGTCATAGTCATATAATGGTTACTTATTGTCACGCTTTGACGTATTCCTCCAAAATACTCTTATAACATCTACACCCTCTTCAGGGATCACCAGGATTCCACAGTATTCATTGAAGAAGCACTTCCAGAGGCAATACGAGGCAAAAGGCAAGGGAGATAGCTCCTAGCAATAAAGAGAGGGCCTAATGCACAGGCTCAGGTAAAAGATTCTGACAGTACAATAGTGATGTATTTATAAGCAGCGTCCTCTTCCTCCTTGGAAAGTACCTTCTGATCCCGAGGGGGACTTCCCCCATCTCTATAAGATTTAAATCATTTCACCAATCTTGTACAAGCCACCGCCTTGTGGGCAGATCCTAAGAGTCAATTAGCAACATGTATTTCATCACATGTGTCCACAGGCAGGGAAACACACAAAACCAGCAACTGTGTGGTCATCATAAAAGGCAAGCATCGGCAACCTAGAAGTTGGCTCCTATCTGACTGTGTCATGGTTTGACTGTGAGGTGTCCCTCAAAAGCTCCTGTGTTAATGCAGGGATGTTCAGAGGTAAAGGAACTGGATTGTGAGAGCTGTAACCTAATCAATCGGTCCATCCCTAGTTTGACTGGACTGACTGGGTGGTAACTGGGCAGATGAGGCATGGCTGAAGGAGGTGGGTCACTGACTGGGATCATGCCCAGGAAGGATTGTTCTTTGGTGTCCCTTTCTGCACTCCAGGCCCCCTCTCTCTCTCCTTCCTGACCCTGCTGTGAATTGAGCAGCTTTCCTCTGCTGAGCTCTTCCCCCATGATGTGCTGCCTCACTTTGGGCCCACGACAATGGAGTTGGCCAACCATAGAGTGAGACCTTTGAAACCATGAGCCCAAAATAGATTTGTTCTTCTCCAAGTCGTTCTTGTTGGGTATTTTGGTCACAGTGACATGAAAACTAAACAAAAGAGATTGTAAGAGCAGGGATGAAGTGTATCCTGCCCCAGTAGGGCAACATTCCCAAACAGGATGCCCCCTGAAAACTGCCTCAGTCTCAGTTCCCTTAATTTACTCCTGGACATGTCTAGAACTCACTCTTCCATTAGAAGCAAGCTCCATGAAGGTAGAGGCCCATCTTTTTTATCCTTCATCCTAATACTTACTACTACTCCTGGACCCATAATGGGCCTTTCAGAAACAGGTGATGAATCAAATGAATTCCCTTTGCCGGGCACTGGCAAACACAAACAGCTAAAGACAGGTTTGCACCTACAGATCTACACAGCCTTGCAGGGCAGAAAATAAAAGCATGGCTGATGAGGAGTAAAACAAGGTGCTCTGCTTATACCTTATAGATGCATGACCCTTTTCTGTTCCCAAAGCTTTCAATCTGTTTTCACATCTGTTATCTTTATGTGATTCTCAGAACACCCTGTTATTTTTGCATAGCCTATTTATTAGCTTTCGTTTTATATTCATGTGATTAAGTTACTTGGGATGCAAAGGACAGAAACACACAACCAAAGTTACATAACTTATGAGTAGCAGAGACTGGGCCATATCCTTTAACTCCTGGGGCTGGGTTCTTCCCAAGACACCTCGGCAGCACTGCAGAGGATTGAATGCAAGGATGTTCACCTACAGACACCAACGATGGTGAGATAGACCTCACTGCTAATCTTCTTCAAAAGATCAATCTTGTATTATTTAAAGTGCTTTCTTAGTCATTCATTCTCTCTCCTAATGACCATGCCCAATTTGTATGGCTATTTTATTATTATTATAATTTTTAGTTTTAGATGGACACATTACCTTTATTTTTTTCAATTCATATTACACATATATAGCACAATTTTTCATATCTTTGGTTGAACACAACATAGAGTCACACCATTCATGTCTTCATATATGTACTTAGATTAATGATATCCATCTCCTTCCACTGCCTTTCCTACCCCCATTCCCCCTCCCTTCCCCTCCCTCCCCTTTGCCCTATCAAGAGTTCGTCTATTCCCTAGATGCCCTTCAGCAGATGAATGAATAAAGAAAATGTGAGGTGTGTGTGTATGTATATGTGTATGTATGTATGTATGTGTGTGTGTGTGTGTGTATATATATATATATATATATATATATCATGGCATTTGCAGGTAAATGGATGGAGTTAGAGAATATAATGCTAAGGGAAGTTAGCCAAACCCAAAAAAACAAATGCTGAATGTTTTCTCTGATATAAGGATGCTGATTCATAATGGGGATGTATGGCTATTTTATAGACAAGAGAATATTTGAACATGTCAACCAAGACTAAGTTGCAAAACTAGCCAGTGACTGGCTTAGAATTAGAATCTAAGACTGCTGAGTTCTGTCTTGTCGTAGAATCCTTGGGTAATGGAATGGAAGAAACCCTCCCATTGCATACCAACAACTGTTTGTCTAACTTCTCACCTCCAGTGAGAACACACTACTTGCCATGTGGAACACCAGCCACCCACTCTTGGAAACTCCTGCCATCAGTCTTTTCATCACTAACAAATGGGCTCCCTGTCATTTCCACTCATCAGTCTGCATTGGTTCAATTTCATTTAGTTTATGTTCACTGAGCACCTGCCATGTGCCAAGGAACCCATAAATATGTGCCATCATTATGCCCATTTTGCAAACAAAGAGCTAGGCCTTTAAGAAGTAACAA